TTACAAATGTTTTGATCCTCAGACAAAAAAAAATTTTGTGAGTATGGATGTGTCTTTCTTAGAAAATCAACCATATTTTACCCAAAATTCTCTTCCGGGGAAGAAAATGAATTTGGAAGATAATTTTTGGGATATTTCTGTTCCCCTCCCTAGTCCTACCTGTTTGGATTTTACTAGTCCTTCGATACCAAGCATAGAAACTGTCCAATCAGGGGGAGAAATACTACAAAACGATTTTGCGAATTCTAGTTTTGAGTTAAAGTTTTATACTAGAAGGAAATTCAATTAGAGGAACCAAGATCAAATAGTTACTCCTTCACAAAGCCAATCTGAAACTCCGAGAAATGAAACTGAACTGTCTGATAATCCTCCCTCTTCAACATTGTCTGGTAATCCCTCTTCTTCAAGTTTTCAAAATAATTCACCTGTTGTCTCTGACCTTGATGTTCCCATAGCCATTAGAAAAGGCGTTCAAAGTTGTACCAAATATCCTATTTCGAACTACATTTCATATGAAAAACTATCAAATAGTCATAAGGCCTTCACATCTAGGATAATTAATTTGTTTGCTCCAAGGAATATACATGAAGTTTTAGAAGATCCAAATTGGAAACTAGCTGTCATGGAGGAGATGAATGCTCTAAAGCAAAACAGTACTTGTGGGAGATAGTAGAATTGCCAAAGGATAAGAAACCAGTGGGATGTAAATGGGTGTTTACCGTAAAATGTAATGCAGATGGTAGCATCGAGAGATACAAGGCTAGATTGGTAGCTAAAGGCTTCACACAAACCTACGGGATAGATTATCAGGAAACGTTTGCTCCTGTTGCAAAAATTAACTCTATTAGAGTTCTTTTGTCTCTTGCAGTTAATTCAAATTGGCCTCTCCACCAGCTTGATGTGAAAAATGCTTTTCTCAATGGCAACCTTGAGGAAGAAGTTTTTATGGATTTGCCACAAGGTTTTGAAAAAGAACTCAGTTGGAATAAAATCTGCAGATTAAAGAAATCTCTCTATGGCCTCAAACAGTCTCCTAGAGCTTGGTTCGAACGATTTGGAAAAGTCATATCAAGTTATGGATTTCTTCAGAGTCAAGCTGACCATAATATATTTTATAAACACTCTAAGAATAATAAAATCTCAATTCTGATTGTCTATGTCGATGATATTATTCTCACTGGTGATGATGAAGCAGGACTAACTGGTCTCAAGAAAAATCTGGCAAGTGAGTTTCAAATCAAGGACCTGGGAACATTAAAATATTTTCTAGGAATG